TGCTTACCCATCCTTGGACAATTCATTCTGTAATGTGTGACCTGTCTTAGGTTTCCTGGAGGCAAGAAGACATTACCAGTCTCAGGCCAGCAGCCTCTGAACAAAGAACATTAGGGGGTGGAGCATAGCCTGATGCCACTGACCTCTAAGCCAAATTTTCAATGAGAGCTCACAAGCAAGCTTCATAATGCCAAGCAACATTTGTGCTTTTAGAGCTGCAATCTCCTGCAAAAGGAGCAGATGAACCAAGTTAAAATGGGCTTTTGAAATTGGTGTGGGATGTCTTGAGTGTCTTTGGCTGTATCAAAGTCTGAGTCTTCCTTTCTAGTCACTTTGTACCCAAAGACTCAAGCAGCACATAGAATTCCTGTCAGAATGAGTTCTGACCTCTTACATCCATAAACACATGCATACCATAGCAAAGGTTACAAACATTAATAATTCTAGTATGACTAGTAACAATAAACATACAAATCGACTGGGTTACAATTCTCATAATTCCAATTCAATCAAAGGACAATAAAATGTTCTCATGACTGGTGGAGTACCAACAATTCCACAATTCTGAAATTTTTCCTTTTCCCTATCTAATGCCCAATGCTCCGTTGCTTGTAATGTTCAAAAATTATCACAGTCCTTGAATGTTAACTGCAAAATTTTTGCCTGTGTCCTGTTCAAATACTGAGGAGTGGCTTTTGCCACACGTCAAAGTCCATACTAGTGTCCAATTGTCCTAAATGGGTTCTTTTTTCCCCCAAAGGGAAAAACTGGCAAAATGAGTTCTGTGTTTCAAGGTGTGGGGAAGCCAAACTGTTAGTCATCTGGTCCGTTGTTGGCTCCGGGATAAAAACTCATGGGTCTGGGAAGTCGATGCAGCCTGCCTGTTGAGAAACTGGAAATCTTGAACTGACTGTTTTCTTCCTTTCTCAGACTGTAGATTCAATGACATCAAGAGTCAGGAACACAGGTTCAGTGGGTCTCACTTGAACTGGCTTGGGCCGGCTCCCGAGGTTTCAGGTCCCGTTTTTCTCTGCTCCATGCATCTCACCAAACATTCTGGCAGCTTCATTCTCTTGCTTCGAGAAAACACAAACATGCCCTCGACCCCAAATTAGGACAGGATACTGTCCTCTCCATTGTCTTTAGCGTGTCTATCTCCACTTGGCCTGAGCAAAAGTCGCTCGGAGTTCTGTCATGTCAGAATCTGTCTGCGATAGATTGCTCACTGGCATCAACATTCAAAAAATTAAAAATGAAAAGTACATGATTTAATGTATCATTTGGAGACTGGGGACATATCTCCCCTCTCTATATTTTTTTGAAGTTGCATTTTCAAGGAGCTATGAACACACTCCACAATTTCTTGTACTTGAGGATTATAAGGAATGCCTGCTTTATCATCAATTTTCCATTGAGCACAAAATTTGCTGAAATGCTTTACTAGTATATCCAGATCCATTGTCTGTTTTTATTACTTTTGGAACTCCCATGTAAGCAAAACATTTAAACAGTGACTTATCACATGCTTAGCGGCTTCTCCAGTTTATGCAGTGGCCATTAAGAAGCCTGAATACTTATCAACTGTCATGTGCATGTGTTTTAACTTGCCAAATTCTGCAATGTGAGTACCATCCATTTGCCGTAAATGATTAGGAAGCAGGCCTTGAGGATTTACTCCTAAAACAGTTGCAGGTAAACATTGTGGGCACACATTACACTGTTTGACAATTTGAGGAGCAGTCTCTCTAGTTAAACCAAATTGCTTTCTTAGGCTTCTACTAATCTGATGATGAATGTTATTCGACTGCTTATATTGGCCTCTATTCTCTCAATTTGTTTTATCACTACAAACATAGGAAGATCTATGTATCCTCTCCTCTGCTGAAGTCTATTGAGTCATCCATACAGATGCCTTTGGTGCTCAGGCCATATTGGCTTTAGCCATTTTTCCACCGACTGCCTCTGAGGGCTCAAATCGCCAACCTTTCCTCTTAAGACACTGCCTGACTTGATACCCTTTTAAAACTATATCCAAAGAATTCAAGTAGTTCCTTTTGTTAAGATTCACACATTCACAATCACACTTCACATACACGTGTGGCCACACCTTACACACAGAACAGACATACATCTTTTAGCTCTCGTTTTCCCTAGGCCATGATTAGTTTGATGAAATGAAACTTTTTAAACTGAAATCTCTTGTAATGTAGCAACCATGACTAACCCTTGGGTTTATGAGCATCCAAAATCTGAACAAATCCAAATTCATCTGTGTCACTTTTCTTTCTATAAGGTCTTAAAACAGTTTTTGGCTGGCCGCATTACCTTTTCCACACACTTGGCTGGGCGTCAGTCCCGGCAGCAGCTCTCAAGACAGCGAGGTTATGGGCTTTGACCTTGGCCTTATCTTTCCTTTGCCCTCTGAGCCTGGGCTGGCCTGCTACACTAACTTTTTCATAGGCTGGATATTTTATGATCAAAATAATTTCCCATTATTCTGGATGATGCCTGCACTAGCCTAGGGACAAAATTCTGAAACAACTCATCTGGTCCCTGCCTGATCTTTGTTAAGTCTTCAGTCTGTGCCCCAGCAGCTGGAAGCTTGTTCCAAGCTCTCTTGGCAGCTGCGCCAATCTGAGTATATGTTGCCACTTCAAAACCTAACTGCTGATCTATATCCTTGTATTGTCCTTCACCAGTGAGCATCTCATAAGAAACAGGAGGTTTTTGGGTGCTATTCTTCTCAGCTTCAATCTGACACTGCTCTGCAAATCCTGTTTTCCACAACAGATAGTCCTCTCCTGATAGGCAGGCCTTGGCTATCTGTTTCCAGTCTCCTGGGGGTAAAGCCTTTATAGCCCCATTCTCTATTAGCACCTGTGTAAAAATTGCTATTGGTCCATATGGAACACAAGCCATTCTTAGTTCCTCGAGCTGTTTAAATGGCATTGGCGTATGCACCCTAGCTATATTTCCTTGAGCATCTCTATGCTTCATTACAGGAAATGTCTGAAATCCTTGCACATTTTCTCCTCTGTCTGCTGCTTCTCTAACACTAGCTTGCACTGGAGACACCTGACCCGCTGCAACTGTCTGCCATGACTTGAGGGGTCCCCACATCTTAGGCAGATTTATACTTGCCACTGCAGTAGGCAAAGGAAACCTGCAATGGTATTATCTCCTGTGAGAGCAACTCCACTAAGTCTTTCAAGTCTCTTAACTCCTGATGAATCTTAACCCTAGATTTCTGCCTCTCTGTATCCTTAGTCAAAAATGAGGTAGGTGAAGACTCTCCATTCTGATACTTAGTAACTCTCTCTCTTCATACTCATCCCAACCATGCTGTCCTGTGCATGCTTCCTTTTCTAGCAGCTCCTCTTTAGGCCGGGAGGGTTCCATCTACTACTAACCAGTTCAGGGGTAGACACTTCCTGCTGTCTTTGCCCGTATGCAGGGCTGCACGTTTGTTTCCCCAAGCCCTGGGTCAGCAGCGACTTCTATGAGGGGGAAGGATCCTTACAAAACTTTCAAACTCTAAAAATTTGTGTATATGCCTCTGCTTTACTTCAGCTCTCCTGGCTATTAAAATATACCCAAGTAAATATACAATCATCTGACTAGCAATTCTCTGGCTCATATCTCTAATTATACACACTTTTACCCTCAAGGTTAACTCACTTCTCTTTATCATCTGGCTAGTATTTCTCTGTTTCACATCTACAAAGTGTATGCATTTTCACTCTGAAGGTTAACTTGTCACATTTCATTTCTTTATCATCTGACTGACAGTTTTCTGTTTCATGTCTACATTCTCACTCTTTTTTTTTTTGTTTGTTTCTCGAGACAGGGTTTCTCTGTGTTGCTTTGGAGGCTGTCCTGGAACTCACTATGTAGACCAGGCTGGCCTTGAACTCACAGAGATCTGCCTGCCTCTGCCTCCAGAGTGCTGGGATTAAAGGCGTGTGACACCAATGCCCGGCTATCACATTCTCACTCTTAAGGTTAACTAGCCACACTTTATTTCTTTGTCACCTGAATCATATTTTCATGTTTTATATCTACAACTATCTGTGTCCCATTTCTACAATTATGTACAATTTTACTCCCAAATTATCGCCATTCACTCACTGTGCTTCATTTCTTCTTTCTGTGCACCTATGGTGTCTATTCCTCTGCACTGTCCATCACTTCTGACCCCCATTCTCAAATCCCACGTTTTGGTGCCATTTCTCAGCATCACCTATATCTCACGAATGTCTCTTTTAGCCCCACGTTTGGGAGCCATTTCTCACAGACTGATGTCTTTGGAGCTGTGATTGGAACCAGTTGAACGACTGACCCCAGGTCTGACACTGAGTGGGGGAGAGTGTGGAAGAAGGTAATCTAGCTATCCAACCACATTAAAGAAGAGACAGGGACATCTGATCATACCGGGAGGGCAATCAGTTATTACTGAAGGTCAAGGTTTATTGATCCATCATCTTAAGTAACCATCCAAAAGCAGGGCAATGGCAGAAGGCATGTATAATCTTCTATAAAGGGCTGACAACAGATATTTCCCTAAATCCTAGAGGCACTCCTCTGCTGCACGTACTCAAGCCCTCAGGCACCTCTACCTCAGCACGTCTCACTAGTCTTCAGGGTATGAATAGACTCACCCTGGCCCAAGGTATTGTTATTTAGAATAGGAGTCATTCTCCACTGAGGCCAGGATATCTAGCAGCCATTAGCTGACATCTAAAAGACAATAGAGATTCTGGGCTCTCTACAACTCATGACCAGATGGAAGAGACTTCCAAAACATATGACCCGACAGTGAGAGATATAGTGATTCATGGAGGATCTAGACTACCCCCAGGCTATCTGCTCAGTCCCTGGACTGGGGTCCTACTGGCTTTCCCTTCCAGCCAGGGCTTCTATATAGGTGTGTGTTGCTGCAGCTGGGCTCTGAGTGCTCTGTCCTGCCTTTTGCTGCTTTGGGTTCTAGGATCCTCACAACAATGGAAAAGCACTGCCTGCTGTTTCTGCTGAGCCTTGCCCTGTTGCTGGGCTTCCTGCAAGGTGAGATCCTGGCTAGTGGAGGGGCCAGTACTGAATGGCCGTCATATTGAAAAATGACCCTGGGCTTTGGGGAGGTGAGGAATATGAGGTTAGACCCAACTGCCTTTAGGGTCCATCTCTACACCTTTCTTCCCCACATCCGCACATCCCTTTCTTCCCTTCCCTTGTACTATCTTCATTCACCCATTCTCGTTTCTTGTCCCCGGTGCTCCCTTTCTGGTCCTTCCATCCCTCTTCTATTGTTTTCCTTCACATGTAAACATCCCTGCATCCGAACCTTACTGTTCATGGACCTAAATTAGGACTGGCAATGGGGCAAGGAAGGCCCTTGACAGAACAAAGACGATGAAGCGATGGGGTGAGTTTGTCTAGCCATGGGTGGCTGGCTCCGGCACCCAGTCTTTTGCCTTCCTCCTCACAGCCTTGTCCATTTCCAGGCTGTGACTTGGGGGAAACCTTCTGCATCTCAAGCCATTCCTTCACAGGTTCCAAGATCATGTGCCTCCTGCAGGGCCAGCTTTGGCCTTTGTTTTTTGATTATTGATCAGAGCCACATGACCAGTTTCTGCCTGATGAATGAGTCTTTTACACTTGCTTGCTTAGGGTTTATATTGCTGGGTGAAACACCATGACCAAAAAGCAAGTTGGGAAGGAAAGTTTTTTTTTCTTCTATATGCTGTTCATCATTGAAGGAAGTCAGGACAGGAACTCAAACAGGGCAGAAACCTGGAGACAGGAGCTAATGCAGACATCATGGAGATTGCTGCTTACTGGCTTGCTTCACATGGCTTGATCAACCTGCTTTCTTATAGAACCCAAGGCCCCTCTCACCATGGGATGGTTCATACCCCATTGATCAGTAATTGAGAAAATGCCTTGCAGCTGGGCTTTTCTCCAACTGAGGCTTCTTTCTCTCAGGTAACTCTAGCTTGTGTCAACACATAAGCTGCCAGTACACTTGATTTCATCTTTTCAGCACTGTCATGTGTCCATTGTGAACTGTTGAAGTTAGAGGGCATTTGTGAGAAAGGAGAAAGCACCTGTGTAACCAGTCTTTCTTGGTCCCGCCAGCTCCCAAATAACCACATGAATACTTATTATTAATTATGAAAGCTCAGCTAATAGCTTAATCTTGTTTCTAACTAGCCCTTCTGACTTAAATTAGCCCATTTCTATTAATTTATTTGCTGCTACATGGCTCGTGGCTTATTACCTCATATCCTACATGTCATGCTTCCTCTTCGTCTGGTGGTGACTCCACATTCTTCTTCCTAGAATTCACTGTCCCAAAAAATCCTGCCTAGCTATTGGCCATTGATGGCCCAAGGAGTCTTCCTTCATGAGCCTCCCTGTCTTCATCTGCTGCGGTGCTCAGGCTCCTGAGTTGCCTGGAAGAGCCATCTGTCACTCAGGTAGCCATTGCTCTTACTCCTGAGTGCCTCTTCTACCCTTTGTCTTTTCTGTCTCACTCTGACATACTTTGATTTACAGATGGGAGGCCAATAGTCTTTTTGACTAGACAATGCATTCACCACAGCCAAAATGCTGGGACCAGGCAAATTGTGGTGTTTAACTTGGAGGCACCCCAGTTAGCTCTTACGTCAAGACTCAGTCATGGGATCTGGGATCTTGCTGGTGCCCATGTGCATTGCTTGGTTAAAAGTTCCAGGAGCCTTCCACATGTCCTGCTGTCACTTGACTCCTGTAAGCTATCAGGATTTGGGAAGCCCTCCTGCTTTCCAGGCACATCTGGTCAACTCGAAATTCAAGGCACTAATCTGGTGGCTGGATTTGACCCCTGTATTTACCTTGGTCCTCAAAGTAAACATTACATTTTTTATTGTAAAATAATATTCAAAATCAGGTTCATTGAAAAAAACTGGCTATAAAAATTGATTGCTTGAGTAAAATGGGTTAAATTTACAATGTTCTTGCATGGCAGGATGTTCCCAGGCTGAAGTAATACACTTCCCTTGGATGGGACACATTTTCAGCAGACTAGATTGCCTGCTAACCTCATTACAGGAGAAGGATGCTGCAGAAATAAGTGCTGCCAGATGTCTGCTGCCCCGCCTCAGAAAAATCTCCTCCTTGTCTGGAGGGAAGATGAATCAGTCCTCCTGTCTCACATGATAGGATAAGGATTCCCTTGCCCAGTGGAGGATCTTAGAGCCTGCAGTCATATCCTAAATGTCTAAACAACAGAGGCAAGTACTAACTGCTCTGTCCTCAGTGCCTCCCAAGCTGACAGATGAGAATGCTGTGGACAGGGGAACCTTGTATCTAAGCCTGTCACTGACTAATATTGGTGGGCATGCTAATTCAGTTAGCCATGCTCTTTACCTTGCTTTTCAGTCCTCTTAGAAAAGATAATTCCAGGGCATATATTCTAACTCCTATGTTCCCTTATTATAGAAGGCTGTCAGTTTTGGGAAGTTATCCAGAATATCTAGGCAGTGTCTTTAGACATTTTGCTAGACAATCCTATAAACATGACTCAACAGGATTCTGTTTTTATTTTAAATTAACAGTTAGATGCTGACTGTGATGGCTAGTTTTATGCCAACTTGACACAAGCTAGAATCATCATGGAGGAGGGAGCCTCAATTGAGAAGCCTCTCCTGTAACACTGGGTTAGAGGCAAGCTTCTAGGACATTTTCTTAATTAGTGATTCACAGGGGTAGAGTCCAGCCCACTGTGGGTGGTGCCACTTCTGGGCTGCTGGTCCTGGGCTCTACAAGAAAGAGGCTGAGCAAGCCATGGGGAGCAAGCCAGCAAGCAGCATCCCTGAATGGCCTCTGCATCAGCCCCGGCCTCCAGGTTCCTGCTCTATTTGAGCTTCTGTCCTGACTTCCTTCAGTGATGGTCTACTCTGTGGAAGTGCAAGTCTTTTACCCCAACTTGCTTTCGGTCGTGGTTTCATCACAGCAACAGAAACCCTAACAAGAGACCAACTTTAACTTATTTCTTTGCAAAGCTTCTAGGTGCTTGTTCCTCATGCAGAAGCCCGATGAAACAAACAGCTAATGTCAGTTACCTTATCCTTCCAAAAAGCTCTGATACATGATCTATCCAGTCCTACAACTGCCTTTAACCACACTCTGCAAAACTGAAGTAAATCTTGATGTAAAATATTTTCCTCATTAACTTTGTCTCTTAAATGTTGTACGGTTACTACTTCCTGACTTTGCCATTTGTTAGGTTTTATTGTAATCCCTTGGATGGTCCCTCCTCTGAGGCATGCTAGCTACGCTCTTCCTACATTGCCCCCTTTATCAGCTTGAAGCAGTTTAAGACAGATCTCCCTGGAAGCAGTTCTGTAACCTCTGAAGAGGGGACTAATAGGCCATGGGGCATCCAAATCACCCCCCCATTCTTGCTACTCTGGGTGTGGTTAAGGACTCAGAATTGAAGCAGCTGTGCTGAAGACTTCTTTGCATCAGTGGTTCTGTCTGCTTCTGGAACACTCAGAAAACCTTAAAGGAATTTCAGATCAGTTTAATACCCTTCGGGATCAATGCTATTCTTTGGCTGCTGCAGTACCTTCTAGATTAAAAAAAAAACACTAGATTGGAGTACTGCTAAGGATGGGATTTTTATCATTCTCTACCAGTGATGTTGCTTCAGCTCCAGGAAATCCCAACTGGCTGAAATGGGCCCAAAGACACAGAGATCAGACAAAAAATTCTGTCACAAGCCTCCTATGTATGGGCTTTTGGTTCCCTCCCACTTTGGCTCTTCCCTTTGATCCCGTCTTTCTTCCTTTTTATCTTTATAATAATGTTTTTACTTTCTGAACACCCCCTATACCCAAATAAAATGTTCCATGTTAGCTCCCCATGGTTCTCACCCTACAACAGCTCCATTTGTTCCTGATACATGTGCAAAAAGACATTTCAGATGCTCTGGCTGCAAGGGACTGTCATCTTTTTCAACCCAGGCCAGACACAATTCTTTACATTAGTCCTCTATTTTCTCCTGTTTCCTTTCTTCAGTACTCTGTTGCTCCTTGTTGCTTCTGGCAGCTTACTCTGGTGCAGCACTCCTGGTGGTGGCACTAGTCATTGTCACCCTGAATCACTAGACCTGGAAGGAACAATTTCATTCTCCTACCATCCTCTATTCCTTCCTCAATCCTGAAAATCTGTCACTCTCCTCCAACTTGTCAATTCCACTGGCATCATCTCCATTCTGACCGACCCCCCCCCCCTCCCCAGCCACCCCTCTCAAATACACACAATGCATGTCCCCCTCCCTATATGGAAGCCCCATTTACAGACACCCACTTCCTCTCACCCGCTCACTCTGTCTCTCCCACCTCTACTCTTTCCCTTCCCTTTCCCTTCCTGGGCAGTCTCTCAGTTTTTCTCTGTAACGAAACATCTGCTTTGTGCCCTGTAATCATCATTTTTCCATTGTTTTACCAGGAATGCATGATAGCAATCACATGATCTATTGTGGCTGATCAAGCTAAAACTCCCCTCCTGCTAAGAGGCTCCCCCTAGTCAATGGATCCTGGGCTACCTACTCCCAGCAATGGCCCTCTTCAGCTTGAAGCAATGAAGAAAGAACCAATTCCCCCATTCTCCAATCTTTCAATGTCCTTGTTCCCTACCTATTTCTATGCTTTTCAGGGTCAAGACTACAGCTGACCTTGCTTAGCCGTTATTAGTCAGCACAGAAAGGAATGACTGTTGAGAAAACTTGCTTCCCAAGACAGTCTGTCTCACCTTGGGCAAACACTTTCAGGAAGGAGAACCTGCAAACCAGCATAGCCCCCTAGATCACAGCAATATCTTCACCCCCAGTCCCCTCACCTTGCCCCTGTAAGGGATTCCAGCCAGCCTTTCCCTTGGCAGACCTCTCTATTTCCTATAGGAGAGAGGCCTCGCTTATTGTGTGTGTTAACAAATATAATCCGGTCTGGTGAGGTCAGACTCTAGTCTCCTTCTGCCTTCTGTCTCCTTATGCCATCTAAGAGATATAAAACCAGCTTTGTTTTTTTCATCTTTGATGACTTGGTCCATTCTTAGGGTCAGGGAACCTTCTAGCTCTTCTCCAATGCGCCCTTTGCAGAGTTTCGTGGTCATGACCCTTATTAAAGGGGTTGGCTCAGCATACATCCAGCTCCTTCTCTGGCTATAGTTTATTTCTCATTAGCCAGAGCCACAGACTCAGCGACCATGGATGCTTGAGGCTGGGTCCCAAGTGAGCCCCTTACATTGGATTTTGTCTTTCCAGCTTTGACGTGTTTCACGTGTTCTAGGCTGAATGCTGAGGGGATTTGTGAGACAGGAGAAGGTTGCTGTACGGCTAAACCTGGTGAGAAGTGTGCCTCACTCTTATTGCTCAGAGGTATGTAAGGTCTGGGGCCTCTGAGGGCCATCTTGCTCGTCCTATCGTGATGAATCCATCTCCAGAATGCCAGCAGCAACTGCAGAGACTGAATATGTTTGCTTGTAGGAGTAGGGAAAGGGCCATTGAATCTGGTAATGGCTGCCACTGGCTTTTGGTCAGACAAACAAACAAATTATGAAGAAAAATATTCTTGAAATGTGTCTGGGTGATTCTCGGGGACTTTTGGGATGAATATCTTTTGGTATGATAAGAATTGGATTCTCAAATTCCACTCAGCACTTTTGCGAATGGAGTTCTACCTATGGGTTAGATTAGGTGTTGGGGGATGGGATGGTGACAGCAGAGAGGCCACCTCAGTTATGCATGTGTGGCACATGTATCTTTCACCCAGGAGCCTGGCTTTCTCATTTGCTGAGACTTCGACTCTTTTCATTAATATTTATATTTTGCCTCTTTCCTTTCTTCCCTTCCAGATGGAAAAACCCAATTTGGAGTCCAGAGATGTGCTGAAATTTGCTTCAATGGGGTTGTTGTGAATAACGACAGGACAATCAAAATGGAATGTTGTAATGGCACCTCATACTGCAATAGTCTAAAAGTCTGACTCATTGCACTGTTCTGCTTTAGGTGAGCCCCTATTCCTTCCCTGTGCTCCTGCAGCCTCGCTGCTCAAGCCCTGACACCTGTATGTACTTAGCATCAGCTGTTGATACCTCAACAGTGGTCTGCTTCCTCTAACCAGGGCACACTTTTCTTGATAATCCATCCACATTTCAAATGAATTAGTAGCTTAAACCAATGGTTAGGCCAAAGATATCTGACCCAGTCATCTCTGGAAGTGGTTTCACAGGCACAGGCAGACTTGAGCTCCATGAATCTGTTAGACACCCTTGGTACCATCAAGTGACTAGGATCAGACATCACAAGCTAAAGGCTTTTAGAATTTTGAATAGGTCATGATATACCTATTTATATATAAAGAGTTATGTATTCACAAATATTAAAATAATTATAGCTCTTACTGTTTTTCAGTGCTGTTCAATGAGTCATGGCCATGGAACACGCCATAGAGCATTCTCTCCTGCCCATGTCTGGAGCCCTCATCATGCTTCCTACATCATGTATTGTAGATGTTTCTTTCTATCTATATGTATATTACCATGTGTTGCTGGGTGCTGTGTAATACGTTGTATGGCTTATAAAATTTATTTTACTAATTCTGTATACTTGTTTTGGATATTTTCAATTTGAGCGTTTATTTATTTTGTGAGTTTGGGTTGAGGTTCACACTAAATGGCATGTATGCAGATGTCAGAGTCAACTTGTGAGAGGCATACTCTCCACCACGCTGGTTCTGAAAACTGAACTCAGTGGTCAGGCTTGGCCATCAATGCCTTCATACTGAGTTATCTCGTTGGCTTTCAGATTTTAGAATCAGGTAATCAGGGGGTTGATGGATAGCTTAGTATGTAAATCTCCTGGTTGTCAAGCATGATGACCTGAGTTACATTCTTGGAAACCACTTTTATAGAACGTAAGAACAGATTTCTACAGTTTTTTTTCTGACCTCCACACAATGACTCAATGCAATAAAAATAAAATCAATTAATTTAGTATTATGTATATTCAGTGACATTTTTGTTTTGAAAGCAATTTCTACAATTTAGAAGATGTACCTTCTCCAACCACCACAATCGGTATTGAGAGTACTCCCATTACCTCCAGAAGTCCCCCTTTCCCTTGGGTGTCATGAAAGCTAGCCCACAGTTAGGTCCTCACTGTCAGCCCCTCTCAAACATAGCCTTTACACTATTTCTTTCTTTTTTATATTTTCTTTTTTTAAATTTTTATTAAAATTTAATTTTAAATTAAAATTAGAATCAAGGTTGCTTCACATGTCAATTCCAGGTCCCTCTCCCTTTCCCTCCACTTCTCCCACCCCTCCCATCAACTACTCAAATATACCCTCATTTCCCCAGGGAGGGTGAGGCCCTCCATGGGGGTGTCCACAGTCTGTCATTCCATCCAGGGCAGGGCCTAGACCCTCCCCCAAGAGTCCAGGGTGAGAGTGCATCTCTCATTGTTGGATGGGAGTCCAAAGTCCATTTGTCTACCTGGGATAAATACTGATTTACTGCCCAAGGCTCAATAGATTAACTAGGCCTCCTCACTGACACCCCCAGTGAGGGGGTCTTGATCAGTCCCATGCTGGATTCCCAGGCATCAGTCTGGGATTCAAGAGCTAACCCTTGTCAGGTCAGCTGTTTCTGGGGGTTAAACCAGCTCAGTCTTAACCCCTTTGGTCATCAGTCCTCCCTCTCTGTCACTGGATTCCTTAAGTTCAGCTCAGTGTTTAGCTGTGGGAGTCTGTCTCTGCTTCCATCAGCCATTGAATGAAGGTCCTGTTTCCCAGACTCTCTGGCCATGGGATTATAGGTTCCCCAGATCCATGTCTAAAATCCATATATGAGAGAGTACATGCCATGTTTCTCTTCTTGTGACTGGGTTACCTGACTCAGGATGGTTTCTTCTAGTGACATCCATTTGCCTGCAAATTTCAGGATTTCATTGCTTTTTTCTGCTGAATAGTACTCCATTGTGTAAATGTACCACATTTTCTCTATCCACTCTTCAGTTGAGGGGCATCTAGGTTGCTTCCAAGTTCTGGCTATTACAAATAATGCTGCTGTGAACATAATGGAACAGACATCCATGTTGTATGAATGGGCATCTTTTGGATATATGCCTAAGAATGGAGTTGCTGAGTCTTGTGGTAGGTTTATTCCCATTTTTCTGAGGAATCTCCATACTGATTTCCAAAGTGGCTGTACAAGTTGGCACTCCCACTAGCAGTGGAGGAGTGTTCCCCTTTCACCACAACCTCTCCAGCATAAATTGTCTTTGGTGTTTTTGATTTTAGCCATTCTGATGGGAGTAAGATGATATCTCAGAGTTGTTTTGATTTGCATTTCCTGGATGGTTAAGGATGTTGAGCACTTTCTGAAGTGTCTCTCAGCCATTTTAGACTACTCTATTGAGAATTCTCTATTTATTCCTGTAGCCCACTTTTAAATAGAATCCTTTGGTGTTTTGGAGACTTGTTTCTTGAGTTCTTTGTAGATTTTGGATGTGGGGTCAGTGAATATCTTTTCCCATTTTGTGGGCTGACTTTTTGTCTTGCTGACTGTGTCCTTTGCATTATAGAAGCTTCTCAGTTTTAGGAGGTCCCATTTATTAATTGTGGACCTCACTGTCTGTGCTACTGGTGTTATGTTCAGGAAGCTGTCTCCTGTACCAATTCGTTCAAGGGTACTACCCACTTTCTCTTCTAAGAGGTTCAGTGTTGCTGGATTTATGCTGAGGTCTTTGATCCATTTTGACTTAAGTTTTGTACATGATGATAGACATGGATCTATCTACATTCTTCTACATGCAAGCATCCAGTTATGCCAGCACCACTTGTTAAAGATGCTATCTTTTTTCCATTGTATATTTTTAGCTTCTTTGTCGAAGATCAGATGTTCATACATGTATGGGTTAATATCAAGGTGCTCAATTCAATTCCATTGGTCTACCTGTCTATTTTTGTGCCAATACCAAAACTGTTTTCAGGACTACAGCTCTATAATAGAGCTTGAGGTCAGGGATGGTGATGCCTCTAGATGTTGCTTTGTTAAGTAAGGTTGTTTTGGCTATCCTGCATCTTTTGTTTTTTCCATACAAAGTTGATTATTGTTCTTTCAAGGTCTGTGAAGAATTGGGCTGGTATTTTAATGGGGATAGAATTGAATCTGTAGATTGCTTTTGTCAGGATTGCCATTTTTACTACATTGATCCTACCTATCCAAGAGCATGGGAGATCTTTCCATTTTCTGAGGGCTACTTTAATTTATTTACAGAATCAAAGTTCTTGCAATACAGGTCTTTCACTTGTTTGGTTAGCATTACCCCAAGGTATTTTATGTTGTTTGTGGCAATTGTAAAGGGTGATGTTTCTCTGATTTCTTTGTCAGCCTTTTTATGATCTGTATATAGTAGGGCTACTGATTTTCTTGAGTTGATCTTGTAGCCTTCCACTTTGCTGAAGGTGTTAATCAGCTGTGTAGAGTTGCCTGGTAGAGTTCTTTGGGTCATTTATGTAAACTATCATATTATCTGTAAATAGTGAAAGTTTGACCTCTTCCTTTCCAATTTGTATCCCCATGATCTCCTTTTGTTGTCATATGGCTCTAGCTAGAACTTCAAGTACAATATTGAAAATGTATGGAGAGAGTGGACAGCCTTGTCTTGTTCCTGATTTTAGAGAAATTACGTTGAGTTTCTGTCCATTTTGTTTGATGTTGGCTGTTGGTTTGCTGTATATAGCTTTCATATTTAGGTACTCCTGTTATCCCAGGTCTCTCCAAGACCTTTATCATGAAGGGATTTTGGATTTTGTCAAAGGCTTTTCCAGTATCTAGTGAGATGATCATGTGTTTTTTGTTTTTTAGCTTGTTTATATGGTGGATTACATTGATGGATTTTTGTATGTTGAACCATCCCTGCATCCCTGGGCTGAAGCCTACTTGATTGTGGGGAATGATTGTTTTGATGTGTTCTTGGATCCAATTTGTCAGTATTTTATTGAGTATTTTTGCATCAATGTTCATGAGGGATATTGGTCTGAAGTTCTCTTTCTTAGTTGTGTCTTTGTGTGGCTTGGTAATCAAGGTTATTGAAGCGTCATAGAAAGAGTTTGGCAAAGACCCTTCTGCTTCTATTGCGTGGAATACTTTGAGAAGAATTGGAATAAGCTGATCTTTGAATTTCTGGTAGAATTCTGCTCTGAGGCCATCTGGCCCTGGGCTTTTTTTGGTTGGGAGATTTTGATGACTGCTACTATTTCCATAGGGGTTATAGGTTTATTTAAATTGCTTATCTGTTCTTGATTTAATTTTGGCAAGTGATAGCTATCAGGAAGTTGTCCATTTCCTTTAAATTTTCAAATTTTGTGGAGTACAGGTTTTCAGAGTATGACCTGATGATTCTCTGGATTTCCTCAGTGTCCATTGTTATGTCCCCCTTTTCATTTCTGATTTTGTCAATTTGCATGTTCAATCTGTGCTGTTTGGTAAGTTTGGACAAAGGCTTGTCTATCTTGTTGATTTTCTCAAAGAATCAACTCTTCATTGCATTGATTTTTTGTATTGTTTTCCTAGTTTCTACTTTATTGATTTCAGCCCTCAGTTTGATTATTTCCTGGCATCTACTCCTCCTGGGTAAGTTTGCTTCTTTGTATTCTAGAGCTTTCAGCTGTGCTGTTAATTCTCTAGTATAACTATTCTCCAGTTTCTTCATGTAGGCACTTAGTGCTATGAACTTCTCCTGTAGCACTGCTTTCAAAGTGTCCCATAGGTTTGTGTATGTTGTGCCTTCATTCCTATTGAATTCTAGGAAGTCTTTAATTTCCTTTTTTATTTCTTCTTTGACCCAGGAATGGTGCAGTTGAGCATTATTCAATTCCCTTGAGTTTGTAGGATTTCTGCAATTTGTGTTGTTGTTGAATTATAATTTTAACACTTGGTGGTCTGATAAAATGCATGGAGTTATTCCAATTTTTTTGTA